TAAACAATAAAACTGTTTATTAAATTTTTTTAATAAACGGTTTTTAGTTCTTCCGATATTCAATCAATTTGTTTTTTTAAAGGTATGATATACAAGACAAATTCTAAAATATGAACGGTTCGAATCATCAAAATTGAGCACAAAAGTGAACCCAATGACCTATCAAGTAGAGAGTCAAGTAGGAAAGTCAAGGAGGAAATCCTTGCTCGCGTCCTGTAGGAATGGCAACGGGGCGGGGCAGAGGATCACACTCCCCGTCCCCGATCCCCGATGGTGAAAATTTTCCCGTCTCCGGTCTCGATCCCCAACGGGGAACCTATCACCGCCCCCGTCCCCGCCCCTAAAGGGGATCGGGTTTCCCCGACCCCGACAACTCCCTAGCCAAAAAAAAAAAAATCAACATCAAAAAATACAGATCGGCAGTGAGGGACCACAGATCAACATCTCCATCTTCATCATCAAAAAATCAACATAAAAAATACAGATCAACATCTCCATCTTCATCATCAAAAACAAAAAAATCAACATCAAAAAATACAGATCGGCGATGAGGGAGCACAGATCAACATCTCCATCTTCATCATCAAAAAATCAACATAAAAAATACAGATCAACATCTCCATCTTCATCATCAAAAAAAAAAAAAATCAACATCAAAAAATACAGATCAACATCTCCATCTTCATCTTCATCTTCATTATTTTCCAGATCTGAAGAACAAAAACAAAAATCAAAGAGAGAGAGAGAGTAACTAGTGAGGAAGAGATACCGTAAGAGAGAGGAGAGGAGATACCGTGAGAGGGAGAGGAGTTGCAGCCACGATGCCGGTGTTAAAGTAAGGATAAGCTGTCGCTGTCGTATGTGTGAAAGAGAGTGGGACGATCGGCGGTGAGGGAGCACAGCAGCGGTGAGGGAGGAGTGTCGGTGAGAGTGAGAGTTAAGAGTGAGATCGACGGTGGCTGTGAGAGACAGAGAAGAACAAGAGGCGACTGTTGTGAAAGGGAGAGAGTTGAGAGAGAGAGAAGGACGAGAGTTGAGAGAGAGTGAGAGAGAAGAACGAGAATGAGAGTGAGAAAGTGACACACGGGTTTAGGGTTTGGTTTATTATATATATATATAAGGGGTATAAAAGTAATTTAATTTTGGGGAAATTCGGGGATGGGGGCCGGGGACGGGCCAGGGCTTGAACACTGATCACCGTCTCCGACCCGAAATAGATCGGGGATTGATTTTCAAATACCGTCCTCTCCCCGTCGGGGGTATTTTTCGAAGAAAAACCGCTTAAATCAGGGTCGGGGATCCCCGTCGAGTCGATTTCAAATTGTCATCCCTAGCGTCCTGGGACCCTTTTATCAGACTATCTTACTTTAAAATAGGTTAAAAAAATATTATATATAAAAAAAATAAAGAGATGATATAATTTTAAAAAGTCAAAAAATTAAAAAAAAACCAAAGTTGTCAAAATGGGCCAAATAAATACTAATCTTATAAATTGTTTGGTCTTTTTCTTTTCTTTTTTTAATGGACTCAAAGGTTCTATTGTAGTGTAAATTACATTAAAAGCCAAGCATAAACGTACGTATGTTATGTGTTGAGGGATTGTACGGGGAGCAAATATTTCGGCAAGCTCGTACTCCTTTCTTCCGAGCTCCGTCTCTGTCCGATTACCTGCGTACACAACGGCGGTGTGTGGCCGGAAAACCCCTCCGACAGTCAAGTTAGAACACGCACACAGGGGATAGATAGAGAGAAGGGAGAGTATTGAGTGTTTAGTGTATGTCTCACCAAATGTTCATCTATCCGCGTATGGGGGGCGCAGACGTGCTTATATACCTTCTGCGCCCCAAATCTACTCCCAGTGACCTCTCAACACGTGGCACTGCTATCCCATCTGTCAGCATAAACCTTGCTAAGCACCACCTAACCCAACTGCCTGCCCATTCTTCTGGGAGCTCGGCAGCCGGGCAGTTCCATCTCGGCCATCGTCTACCATGCTGCGCTTCATGCCCAAGTACTCCAACAGCTAAGCTCAGATGAGGACCGGACTCGGCGGCATCTCGACAAAGCCGAGCTCGGGACTACTTACGCTTGTCTGCGGTCGACCTACCTGCCGAGCAAACAGGTACCTCGGTCCAACCTTGCCTTTCCTGGCGCTGGACTTTTCAGCTGACCGGCTTCGTAACCACGAATCCTTGCAGCTCAGTCAATCAACGCGCTGCCTTAACCGAGCAGCTTCCTTCAAGGCCGGGCCACACAACTTGGCCCAACACCTGTTCGGCCCAAATCTGTCTGGCACAACTCTGTCCGGCCCAAATCTGTTCAGCTCAACTCTGTCCGGCCCAAATCTGTCCGGCACAAATTCCATATCATTAATCTCTCTCTCAGGGATAAATGTAGATTTTTCTTATAATATTGAAATTAGTAAACATATACTTTAAAAATACTCCTTAGGGTACTTTTTTTAAATATAACACTCTAAAAACGTAATATTTCAATATAACATTAAAAAAATTCATAATTTACTTTTCTTAAACGTGATAATGTAACATTCTAAAAAATTTCTTAATGTATTTTTTTCAAATATAACACTCTAATGTAATACACTAAAAAACTTCTTATTGTACTTTTTTCAAACGTAATAACTTAACATTCTAAAAAAAATTTTAGTAACACTCCAATCAATGTAACACACAAAAACTCTTATGTACTTTTTTTCAAAAGTAACACTCTAATGTAATACCAAAAGACCACACTAACAGAAATGTAGATTTTCACGCTCGACAACCAACACTTCAATTATCAATTCCTCCAAAAAGAATCTTCCACATCTCACATTTTTATTCTCATCCCAAAAACAAATTAGAAAATTGAAAAAATGAATCACAAAGGGTATTCACTTAAATTCAAATGTCACCAAATCAAATAAAAATAACTTTCCAAAACAAGAAGAATTAATTGGTTCATAAGAAAATCCTTATGACTAAATGGATCAATATTCTCCCATCTAGGATTTATGGATAAATTTTTCAATACATGAAATTTGATCGGTTTAAATATATAAATTTTAAGATAAATTTACAATTTATATTTTCAAAGAGGTACGCATAGTAGGAAAATTATGATTTTTTGTAATGAAAATTATGATTATTTATAATATATGTTATGACATCTCATGGTGAACTTACGAGTATTGAATTTCTGATTTGAACTCAAAAGTTAAGAATAATAATGTTATGATACTTTGTGATTTCTTTTTTTGTGATAACATTTTATGGTGAAAAATGTTTGTGCAAATTACACTTTGTTCCCTTTAAGTTTGACTATTTTCTCACCTTAGTCTATAAAATTTATTTTTTTCTCACTTTGGTCCTTCATGTTTTAATTTTTTTTTTCACTTTACTCCTAAAGCTAATTTGTGTTAAAAATCAAACAGAAAAATGACATATTAACAATTACGTATTATAAAAATATTTTATATATAACTCACATCTTTGACATAAACTTAAACTCTAATATATTTTTATGTTATATAATTATGGCATTTTCTATCTAATTTTTATCATAAATTAATTTTAGGAGTAAATAGAAAAAACTTAAAATTTGAAGAGCCAAAGTGGGATGGTTAGGAAATCAGTTAGTTGTCGAAGGAGGTGGTAATAGTGGCTGCCGAAGAAGTTGGTAGCGGTGGTTAAAACTTGGAAGTAGAGTGGAGTTAGGATTGGAAAGAATAAGGGTGTAATGGGAAGTTTGGAAGTTAGGTATAAAGATATAGGTGTAATTAGGAGAGGTGAAAGTGATAGAAATCAAAATTTTGAATATTGATGAAAAGTGCAACTTGAAAAAGAGTGTAAATAGATAGGCATGTTGTGTAAATAAAAACTTCATTCTACTTTTTTCAACTTCTTCCAAATTGTTTAAAAATTCTATAATAACATATTTTATTCTAATTTTACCTTTTAAGAATCAACATGTGTTTGTGACATTACCAATAGCACTGAATAACTCCTTATCGTGCTTATTTTGTTTGTTCATTAATAGAGATGGGTACACATTATGTATGTGTAATTTGTAATTAGATCTGATAACCATAGCAATTATTTGAAACAACCGAAGAGAATTGAAATAGTTTATAACAATTATACATCTGTAGATATGGTTAAACTTAGTTGTTACGATGGCATGTAAACGATAGCATTTTCAAAAGGCAGTCGCTTTCCTCCAGTCCTAGATCGGATATTGATAGTTATCTCATCAGATTAGTTTTTTGTCGACGTTTTATTTTTTTACTGTCCATTTTTTTTTATATAAAATTGATTTGATCACAAAGCTATCGATATCCGATCAACGTAATTTTTTACAGACAATAATATTTAACGAGTTCTACACATTGAACCGTTCAGATTATCGAAATAAGATCCGTGATAGACCCCCATGGACCTAACAGCATCCTCCAGTCAGATTGAACTGGAGGGAAGCCGGGCCCTTTTCAAAAATAAAAATTTTAGTGACATCAACATCAACTTGCTTTATATAACAATATAGATAGTATAGATATATTACAAAGCTTGGGGGGTTTTTTTTTTCTGACCTTTGAATGATGATGATGATGATGATGATCACCAACAAAAGGAAACACAAAAGGGTGTTTCCTACTTAGACTTTCTTAGTCAATTATGCCTCTGAAAACACAGCATACAAGCTCACACACTTTACATACATGCCTAGACATGGAAGTTAGCTAAATGACCTGTGTTGATCAAGTCAAGTATATTTTGTCCTCAAATCCTTTTGTTTCTCGTTCTTAATGCTCTCTTAATTATTGGATCATACATCAAGAGATTCATTTGTTTTGAGATCTTCACATGCCTAACTATTGGGAGTGTATTGAGACAGAAATTGATCAACTTGGAGATAAAAACGATAATTGCACATTATTTTTCCACGCAATCAATCATAGAAGAGACTAGAAAATTTATCAAGAAAAATATTTGGAAAAGCAATTGTGTATTTGACGTTCATTTCAAGTGTAAAACCTACAATACAAGAATTGAATTTATAGCACGTGTCCCTTTTTTGGGTATGATTCTGACTAAATTTTATGGGCAAATAGATTTTTTTTTAAAAGAGACACAGAGTGGTTTCCACCTATGCGGTCCACATGTGGGTCCTACTTTTTCTGTATCTTCTGTGATTAATTTTGTTAAAAAATTATATGCAAGTAATACAGCTGTTTGGAGATAGAGAATCTAGCGTCGCACGTCATTAATTTGGAATGGAAATTATTCCAAAAAACCAAGCTTTCCTCTCCATGGCTTGAGAATCTGGAAGGAGCAGAGCAAACTTGCATCAACATTCATGAGGGCACCTGCATTGTTGAATTCTCCACAGTAGTTTGGTGCAGAGAATATGGTAACTAGCTGCCTGTCTGCAAAGAATTCATATCCATCTTCCACCACCTGTTAAATCCAAAACATTAATATATATTGTTTAGCATTCATGAGAGAGAGTTTTCTTCATCTCTAGAATTTCTACTAAACATATTAGTGTGTGTTTGTATATATGAAGAATTATTCAGTGCACTTAAAACAAGTTAAGATGGTGCTTTAAATTAACAGTCATTGGTCTAGACAGTGAGGTCCATCATTTTAATGGTAGTCTTTAAAGAGAAAACATAAAAGGTGTCAATTAGTAATTAGATTTGAGCATTGCTCTAAACGAACTTAATAATTTTTCTTACGTATATCGCCAATGTTCCTCTTTTTTTCGTAATCATTGAATTGAATCATATGAGAATTTAGAAATACCCAAATCTCAAAACATAATTTAATAATTGAGTGTAAAGTCATTATGAGATCAAACGGATAAAAGTATTTATTCTATAAACCAAAATCCCAATTCCGCGACTAAAAGGATAAAAGTATATGGGAATAGAAAATCTCATAGTTGTGGTTGTTTATAAGGATCGACACCACAAAAATAGTGTCTAAGTCTTCTCGAGGACTAATCTAATGGGCTTCTTCCTTTTTTTTTTTTAACTCTTCTTCTTTTATAGATTGATATACAAGTCAAAACTTTAAACTCAAGTCTTGTTCAATGAATTTGTCCCAAATTAACTCCCGAGCTGCCTCCTACATGTGAACAAGTTAGCCCAACAAACTTAGTCGAATGAGCTAATATTCAGGGCTATATTTTTATTTTTATTTAAAATTTTTCCTTTTTTATATATTTTTGACAAATTTAGTTAGGTTGATGAGCCACCTCTCTCCAGGAAGGGCCAATGGACCAAGCCTACAAATAAACTAACAAGTTGACTCTCACAAGCCATCACAAGTCTGCCTAGTCACAAACCAAATGATAACATCATATATATAGAGGGCCAATTATTAATAAACTTTATACTAATTTTAATAAAATTTATTACCACAATTATTTTTAAAAAATGGTAGTAGTAGATTATCTCTAGAGAGAAGGAAGAGAGGACCTGGTGAGCGCGGCAAATGAGATCAAGATCATGCTTCTTCAAAAACTCAACAACCTTATCCGCTCCAAACGTATACGAAACCCCCCTATCATTCTCCCCCCAGCCCTTTATATCCCTATCCGGATCGGCCCACAGCAAATCACACAACAAACCCTGGTCCGGCACATCGACCGGCCTCTCTATCGCCCGTATCTGATCCAAACTATCTATCTCCGGCGAAAGGCCGCCGTGCATACATAGAATCTTATCGTCGATGACGGCGGCAACAGGCAAAGAATTGAAACAGTCGGTGAAGATACGCCAGATGCGGACGCTGAAGCGGCGCTTGCACTCGTCGTAGAAGCCGTAGATGCGGTTGATGGAGGCGCATTCGTGGTTGCCTCGGAGAAGGAAGAAGTTATCGGGAAATTTGATTTTGTAAGAGAGGAGGAGGCAGATTGTCTCGATGCTTTGTTTGCCTCTGTCGACGTAGTCGCCTAGGAAGAGGTAGTTCGAGTCTGGCGGGAAACCCCCGTATTCGAAGAGCCGGAGGAGGTCTGGGTATTGCCCGTGTATGTCTCCTGCCAAATTGAGTTCTAGTAATGTCAATGTCAATAATAATAATAATAATGTACACCAAAATAATGCCTAGCTTGGCAAGTCTCAAAAAAGTCAAAAAATTATTTAAAAAGTTAAAAAGTTATCATTATTCATCAAAAATCAGCAATTACAGCTTCACAACTCTCAATACTAATTTTTTCCTACACATTAATTTATACAATTTTTTAATACATATTTTTCCATATAAAGTCAAAAAGTTAACGCAAACATTCATATTTTTAACCTCAATTTTTTAGTCTAAAAAGACAAAAAATACACTTATTTAGGACACCCCAAACAATCCTTAAATAAAATTACACTCATTGCGAGAGTTAATTGGTGAAAATTTCATTTGTATGGGTCATATGTCAATTTGAGGTTTTTTTTTATTTTTTATTTGTTGTGATAAAGGACACTTGTTGAAAAGTCGCCGCTCTTTGAAAAGTCGCCGACAGTAAATTGAATAGATAGGTGACATGTACACAGATAATAGGATATTTGAAGGTGACATATGTAAATATAATGGGATATTTGAACATATAAGTGATATATGTATAGATAGTGAGATATTTGAACATATAATTGAATATTTTAACATATACATATATATATATATATATATATATATATATATAGTAATATAGATAAGTGACACGTATACTGATATCAAGACATTTGAACAAATAGACAACAATAATGAAATATTTGAACAAATAGACCAAGAGTTTCAGAAATAAATATTTGACTTAAGTATTCAAGTTTTAAATATGATCTTTCAAATTTAACGTAATTATAGTAATTCACCTAATATTTGCTCTTAGATAGATGAACGATAGATGAACATATTGAACCGTTAAAAATATGGTAGGGCATATGCAATTTGTGAAAATTCTAAAAAATGTTCGTGAGTTATCTTATAAAATCGTATAATTTAAATATGAATTCATATAAGGCCTCGTTTGAGAATATATTATTTTAGTAACTTTTTGACTTTTTACGAAAAGATATAGACAAAAGTAAAGCTAGTGATGTGACAATTTATAATAATTTTTTGACTTTTTAACTAAAATGTATAATTGACAAATAAAACATAAGTTAACCCATAAAAATTTAAGAAATCACAACTTAATATAAATTCTCACAAACATATGTTAGTCACTTCACAAAATTACGTACCTTACACATAAATTCACGTAACTTAACTTATAAAAAATTGAGAAAACACAAGTTTTCACGAAAGAGCATTCCCTTACTCACAAACAAGGTAGGAAGCCCCTATGCCAGATGAGAAATCACCATCCCATAGGATGATCTGGGACTTATTCTCCAGCTATAGGATAAGGCCTCTTTTGAAATTTTGGTCAAACATATGTCAACTACCTCGCAAAATCACGAACTTAACACAAATTTACGTAAGTTAACTTATAAAATATGTCATAAATTCTTACAAAGTCTGCAACTTAAATCACAAAAATACATAAGTAAATGGGATTGTACACTCAAAAATTATCCTTAAAATATTAAATTGAGTGAATATAATATACAATCTTAATTTTTTTACAATTCAAGCAAAAAGATATTTTTTTATTCAAAATCTTAACACAAAATTCACAAATCAATGATATGCATGAAATTCACAAAATTATCTGTTAATGGCATTAGGATTATAAAAGATTGTATATGGACAAGTTCAAAGAAGTTTTGAAATTTTGTATTGACAAATTGCGTATCAAGTACAAAAATGATAATAATAATTCATTTAGGATATTATATTGATCGGTAATACCATTAAACAATATTGCAAGTGGAGCAATTTTAAAAACAAAGCAATTGGGCAACCCATGTTAGTACAGTAGGCATTTACCATTAAAAATGGTGCTACGATTGCGCACAACATTTGATGAACGGAGCATCTCATGCCATGTTACTACAACGTGCATTCAAATCACATGTTCTAAGCAACCTCAAAATCAACTCTCTAACCATTTATATAGAAAAAATATATATATATATATATATATTATTAAAATTATTTACATATTTTAAGAGTAGATTTTGAGATATGAAGGAACACAACACTTATCTCGACATTTCTTATGGAAAACAAAATTCAATCATGTGATGTGCTCTAATTAAAAACACATTTCTCAACATTTTGTGATAAAAAACAGTCAATTATTACACTAGTGTTGTGTTTGGTTGGGATATTTGGAGAGGGATTTGGAAAGCGAAAAGGAAAAGATGTGTGAAACTAGGTGAAATGTAGACATATTTTATTCACATTTCACCTAACTTTTCCCTTTCCTTTTCCAAATCCCTCTTTAAATCCCCAACCAAACACAGCATAAAGAAAAAATACAATTTTGGTTGTATAAGGCCTAGTAGAATTCTTTATTTTGAATCCATTCTAATTAAATTCTCAAAAAGTTGAGAGACCTTATTCAAAGTGACAAAACACAAAATTTGGAAGGCTCATTTATGAATTTAATATCAATTTGTTAAACGATCATGAAAATCATGCAAAGCACAAATCAACACAAATTATTCTGTGTCCTATTAATTTCTCATATTCCCACATTGCTAAAATAAAATGGTTTGAAGTTAATATTTATCAAATTTGATTTGTAACAATGTTTTTTCAAAATTACTCATATTGTTTGATTGTTTCAAACGTAAGTGTCAATATTTATCAAATTCAACCTATCTTCTTCATTCATCAAATCAACAGAAATTAATTGTAAAATTACACACACATCGCATTTGCATCCATTTCTAACATTGTGTTGAGATATTGAGAAGATAATTGAACCTTTTTTTTTTTAAGAATATGAAGATAATTGAACTTGAGAAACACATAATCAAAATGGGTAACAATACTAGCAATATGAGTAATGGTAATGGTTAGAGGAGACAGAGGAGGAGAGAAGAGGGAGGAGGAAGAGGGGGTACATACCACAGACGTTAATGGGAGCTTCCAACTCAAGAAGGTTAGGTTGGCTAAGGAAAACCTCCTTAGCCGTAGTACAAAGCTGTCGGATCTCCGCCTCCGACAACTGAATCTTCTTCCCTCTGGTCTTCCTCGCTTCCAACAGCCTCTCTATTATACCATCCAACCCTTCCATTAAATCTCTCAACCTCTACTCTCAATCCCCACCACCACCCCCTGCCACCACTGCCCTCCACCACCTATATATTATATCTATATGTATATATGTTCTCCTCTAATGAATGATAAAATCACAATTGCATGTTCTTATCTTGAAGATGTGCTAAAAAGATTGGAAAAAAATAAAATAAAATAAGAAACAAAGGGGAGAAAATGCAGAGTTCTTTTTCTTCAATGAGAGAGAAAAATGTAGAAGAATTGTGGGGGAGTTCGAGATATATTTGGCTTGGATCTGTTACAAATAGAAAGGACTAAGCCTCCCTCCTTTGCTCCGACTTTTTTGGGCAATCCATCGAATCATTTGTGCGTGTATATATATATATATTTTTTACATACAATACTTGGGAGCTGTCACCTGTAACACCCAGCAAATGATGCACTTAAAAAAAGGTAAAAATAGGGGGCACACAGAATCTTCTGTTCTCTCCTGTGTTTTTCGACTTTTTTTTGTCATATCCAACAATCGTGAACAACTAAATAAATATTTCAAGAGAATAGAGAAAAAAACTTAGGCTCTTTTTGGTTAGATATTCAAATTATGATTCCATCGTTTGATTTCAATATATAATGTTTGTTTAGAATTTTTAAAAATTAATTCTAAACCCACTTTTGAAAATTCTTTTCAAAGCAGGAAATTTAGACTAATCGGCCTCCTGAACATCCGGCCAATTGACCAGTACAATGTAATTTTTTTTTTTTAATAATTATCACCTGTTATTTTTTATATTTTAAATAAAAAAATCAAAATTTTTTAAAATTTTGTCTGAATTTTGAATAAAATTTTGAGTTCTGTATTTGATTATGAGTTGTAAATTTTTATATCAAATATCATATGTCACATCAAAATTTCTCCACTCAATTCAAAACTCTTTTAACAACTCATTCACCAAACAAATTTTTCGCACTCAAATCAAAATTCTAAAACTCATAAATTCCAAATATAACATTATTCTTAGATCATATTTAAAAAAATTTACCAAATGCTACCTTAATATTTCTAGAGAAAAGAGAAATCTTAGCAAGGACAGGAATGACAACGGGGAGGGTATATGAGTGACCCCTCTTCCACTCCAGACCTATCCTTTATTGTGCAAAACAATGAATGAAACAAACAAAAAAAAATCATTTTGCAGCATCGAACGGTAATAAAAGCTTATAAAATAGAAATGAGATATTTTTAATAATACACATAATCCGATTGGGGTGAGTCTCGGGGTTACCCACCCCTACCCCCGACCCAAACCCTGTAAAAGTTCTTTATTTCACTACAAAATTTGATCATATCCTATTGAAAAACTCCCGAACTCATTTCAATAAATCAGGAAGGCCAAAGAACTTAACTGTAAATCAAACACGAGATACAAGAGAAATGTGATTCCACTTCCATCCAATTTTAACCACACAAGAAAGTGTCTTGTAAGCGCTACAATTTAAAAAAACTACTTAATTAACCAAAGTCCGCATGGTAATAACACAAGGCAATGTGAAGATGTTTATGAGGCAAAGTTGAAATCACCAAGATGATGACATTCATCATGACAACGACCGACTTAACTAAGCATCAAGTTGAAACCTTGAAGATTTGCCTTGATGTTGATTATATGAAAGCAAGCTTCTAGCAATCGATGGCGAATAGGAGGGTAAGATGCAGCTTTAGAATTGAGACTTGTCCAAACCGTCAAAAAAGGGATGATCTAGAGCTGCTTTGGCTGAGATCCTCTCAGCTGGATCATATTTCAGCATTTTCTGCATTTGCAAAACACCAGACCACAACATTAACATATAACAAATTTCAGCATAACAAAGATGAATATTTTTCAAAAAAGTGTTGTACTTCTATGCAAACTAGCTAAATCTTAACCGGTATAGCAAACTTGGCCATGAAATGGGGTCAAACTAAGATTGTACAAATGAATTTTAAAAATTAAAATTAAATTAAAAAATCATGTTTACAAACTAAACCAAGAATGTGTTCACATTTCAAGATCAAAAACCCACAATTTCAATCAAGTCAAAACCTGTACGGGAATTGGCCTCTAGAGACAGCATGGAATTAATGTTAGGACTTATATTTCAAATTATTAAAAATCCAAAAATAAAGTAAGTTTCCTTTGGAAAAGACAGTGATATGAGATAAACTAGTGATGAATAATCAATCAAATGTCAAATGTTTTCCCAGAAGCTTCAAGCACTTTCTAACCATAAGAGAATAGTATCTATAGACGTGTAACATATAAAGCCGTTAGAAGCTTTTAAAAGGTCGAGTGAAGTTCAAGCACAAGTAGTTACCGATAACAGATCAACCCCATCAGGTCCCAATGATGGAACAGCACGCGCCAAATTCTGAGCTTCCCACTGGGGATACACATGCCAGTCCCGTAGAGAACTAACTCCTGGCCACTGCTTATCAGTTGGTGTTCCCAACAACCTTCAACAATGCACATACCAAAGCCCGTGAAAATGGAAATCACAATGGGACTAAAAATATTTGTACTATACATATGCAATCTATGGCCATTACAAACATTTCAGTAATGCTGGAAACAACAAAACAAAACCAAAAAAAAAAAAAAAAAGGCTATCCTATAACATCATAAAAACCCATGTAACCACCATTTCTACCTTCCATTTCAAAGCAGAGCAACAGCCATTATCCTATTGATTTTGAAAGTAATATATCCATCATTCTTAAACAAAATTAATCAAAAGAGTATGTAAAGTCCTTTCCTTTTTTCTTTTTTAAAAGTGAGGGCCTACCCATCAATCTTTAAAAAAAAAATTATAGTTCACAAAATTTGGTGAGGTACACATATGCAGAAATCAGTTCTACCTTCTCTTTGCTCTTAATCGACCTAACATCAATCACCACATCCCCACAAGTTAAAACACCGCATGGAAGTGTGTCCATCATTCAAAAATAAAAGTATTGTGGACAACACATCTCAAACAGCCCCCAGGACAGCACTAACATTTGTCTCTTCTTCTTTCTTTTTTTTTTAATAGAAGTTTTGACATTTTACACATGGCAATCGCAAGTCAAGTATGCAAGGGGAATTTTCAATTTAGGATGCCAATACAAAGGTACAGTCCAAAATATAACAATAGAGTAACAGTGACATACATAATATGACAATCAAAATGAACATTTCCAGCTTCATTTGCACATTATGAAATTCTTAGTACAAAAATTTAGAGTGTTTATGTACTTGTGTAATTGATGTATGTATAAATTTAATGTCTTTATAGTGTCATGTATCATATCCACAGTTTGTGTGTTGCTGTCTCTGTATGTATGCTACTTAGACCACAAGAAATGCACAGAATCAAAAGCAAAGGAAAAATTGGACTTCAATTTTAAAAAGTGAGCTATATTGATCCTTGCAATCTAGTGAACCACTTGCAATAATAATAACCTTCGTCTAGAATATTACTCGCAAAGCTATTACAAAAGAATAGGTGTAACTTTTTTATCATTATGATCATTGAGAGCTATTATTTGTCATCTTGTTCATCTAAAGATGTTGAGATATAACTTTGGGATTTGTATTTGGATAAATTTCTGTACAATTGTGCCAATCAATAAATACGTCAAATCATATGTCCCTCTTGCCAATACAATTGTGTTAATCAGATGTTCAAACCAATCTTTCTATATATCTTTTGCTGCAAAATTTCCTACTGTTCCCAAAAACATTGGAGAAATCGGATGAAGATATACATTTTTTTAAGGCAAAAGATAAACCCTCTTACTCGAACAATGGTTTCCCAAACAATTTACTACCAACCATGAACATTTCACGAGGCATATTTTTCCCTCGATTAAATGGAACCCGTTTTATGGTGAATCAAACCTATTGGATGACTTGGATTTTACAGAGAGCAAACTACCAATCAGGAACAGAACCAAAATGAAAAAGAGAAGCAGCATCAGTCAGGAACACCTGTCTACCAAAGGTTCCTCTAGAGGACAGGTAACTAACCAAAGTTTAAAAGAATATACCTGAATATGTGAAGCAGCTGCTGAAACTCGGAGTCACCAGGAAATAAAGCTTGTCTCCTTGCCATTTCAGCTGCAAAGAATAATCCAGGGAAAGGTAATAAGGATTGGTGACAATGTCAGTAAAAAACACATAAAAAAGAAACTTCAAAAAGGGAATTAACAAAAAATCACTGGTATGACTGCAGGGAAGATGGTCAGGTACATTTATCCCTGTAACGACCTACAGATCAAGGTTAAGTGAAATTTTTCCCAGGAAAATAAACTGATATCCTTGAGCTTAGAACTTGCTACTAAAGCAAGAATAATAAACAGTTTCTTTTACAGCAGGGTTTAGACGAAGGATCGTTTTTGAGGTTGTATCATTTTGTTATTATACATGTGCTCAGAGAAAAACAGATGCACTGATAGAGATTAAAAATTCCTTGATCCTTACTGATTGTTGATCACAGCTGGTGTGGTGTCCGGGCAATAGAAGCTAATGGGTGATGGACACACAATATCCAATAATGTGAAAGCTACAATAGAAATTGATGAATGTTTTCGAGGGGCAATTAGAGACCTCATTGTAAAATCTACAAGCCTAATGTCTAGCTAGCAGTCTCAAAACAACTAAATTGCAATCCACAGAAAGTATATGGTGGACCATGGAATTGAAGGGTGTTACCAAAAATGCAACCCACAGACCACATATCCACGGCAGTTGAGTAATGAGTTGATCCTAATAAAACCTCTGGAGCTCTGTACCAAAGAGTAACAATCTGTGGAACAAAATATATAACAGATGCAACAAACAGAAAAATTAAAGAGCATAAATGCATAGGGAATGAAACTGAGATTCATCCACCGGACAATTGACATGTACAAATAGATAAGAAGACGGACCTCATGGGTGTAGCTCTTGAGAGGAACAGTGAAGGCCCTTCCGAGACCAAGATCTGCAATCTTCAGGATGCCCTTCTCCTTGTCTACCAGAAGGTTTTGTGGCTTCAAATCTCTGCAGAGAATAAGAGAAAAGCAAACACAACAATTGTAAATTACACGCACACAAGAACAAAAGATTTACATGATTCACCCCAAAACTAGAACTAAGACTAAAGTCGCTGCAATTCCATTACGATCACAAAAGTTTATATAAGAATTGAAGAGATTTACATCACAATCAACTACATATACCTAGAATTAAGACAATAATCACAAGTGCTAAAATACAGAAAACACCCTTAATCACAAAACCAGCAACAAATGTGTTTTATTCATGTTGTGCTTTGTTTCCTTCAAAACATATTTTGAAATGCCTAAATGTTGTGTCAGATTAACAACCACCACAACATGTTGTTGATCACAGCTGGTGTGGTGTCCGGGCAATAGGAGCTAAAGGGTGATGGACACACAATATCCAATAATGTGAAAGCTACAATAGAAATTGATGAATGTTTTTGAGGGGCAATTAGAGACCTCATTGTAAAATCTCCAAGCCTAATGTCTAGATAGCAGTCTCAAAACAACTAAATTGCAATCCACAGAAAGTATATGGTGGACCATGGAATTGAAGGGTGTTACCAAAAATGCAACCCACAGACCACATATCCACGGCAGTTGAGTAATGAGTTGATCCTAATAAAACCTCTGGAGCTCTGTACCAAAGAGTAACAATCTGTGGAACAAAATATATAACAGATGCAAGAAACAGAAAAATTAAAGAGCATAAATGCATAGGGAATGAAACTGAGATTCATCCACCGGACAATTGACATGTACAAATAGATAAGAAGACTGACCTCGTGGGTGTAGCTCTTGAGAGGAACAGTGAAGGCCCTTCCGAGACCAAGATCTGCAATCTTCAGGATGCCCTTCTCCTTGTCTACCAGAAGGTTTTGTGGCTTCAAATCTCTGCAGAGAAGAAGAGAAAAACAAACACAACAATTGTAAATTACACGCACACCAGAACACAAGATTTACATGATTAGAACACAAGATTTACATGATTCACCCCAAAACTAGAACTAAGACTAAAGTCGCTGCAATTCCATTACGATCACAAAAGTTTATACAAGAATTGAAGAGATTTACATCATAATCAACTACATATACCTAGAATTAAGACAATAATCACAAGTGCTAAAAATACAAAAAACACCCTTACTCCAAATTTGAATGGAGTGGTTAGGCATCTCAAATCCTTGACTCGAACCTATATCAAACTTCAACTTGGGTAAATATCCCTCAAAATCAAAACACCTTTCACTGCTTGACACAAACTCAAACCAAATAAAGTTTTGCTCAAATTTTTACCCAAATCAAAAAATATTCAAATGTTTCCTCAAAATTTTCAAGGCTATTTTGTGGTCTCAAATTTTGTGTCCTTAGGCCATGTTTGGATCATGTATTTGGGTAGGGATTTGGAAAGAGAGAGAGAGAGAGAAATGTAGTTATATTTCATTCACATTTCACCCATTTTTTTCCTTTTCCTGTCCAAATCCATGATCCAAACACAGCTTTAGTGATGTTTTACTCAAATTTGTGCTAGAATCTGAGATTGTCCATAGCAGCAGTACATATCAAATGAAGTTTCTCCTCGAATTTAAATAAAATTTTGAGTTATGACTGGTGATGTGATCGGTATTTATCATGATCAACACTCACAAAGGGGCAAATCGATGAAGGAAGAACAAAATTACCTATGAAGAACGCCATGGCTGTGGCAGTGAGCAACCCCAGTACACAACTGATAGAGAAAACTCTGGATTAGTGAAAGCGGAAGAGGCCGGGGATCGGGGCCCTTGCGGTGGGAGTCAATAAACTTCTTGAGATCGGTATCGAGGTACTCGAAGACGAGGTAGAGAAGGGGCTTTCCATGTTTGTTATCGACGTGCTCAACGCAGAGTAATCGGACGACGTAGAGAGAGTGAGAGAGCATCTGGAGAAGAGAAACCTCCCTGAGAGCAGTCGGAGGCACACCTTCCTCGTCCATCTCGAGCCTCGTCTTCTTCAGAGCCACCAATTGACCTGTCTCTTTGTCCTTGGCTTTGTACACCTTCCCGTAAGTTCCTTCTCCTACCTTCTCTAGCTTCTCATACTTCTCCATTTTCGTCTTCCTCTTCTGATTCTGATTTTGATTTTTGATCAAACCCTAATATTGGTTGTGATTGAAATGAAATGTGGCTTTGTTTCTGATCAGAGGTTTTTGAGAATTCGAAAATGGTTTTTATAAAGTGAAAAGCAAGGAGAGCGTGGTCTTCTCAAATCGGCTACCCTTTGGATCGGTTTTCAACTTTCAAATTTTGAGGCCATTCTCAAATGCTGCACAGGCGAGGCCGCAACGGCACATAATGGCACGTGCTTCCCTCCCTCTTTCGAAATTTGAATTCCCCTTCCTCAGGTGCCCCGTTTTCTCTTCCCCCTTGGTAGATCCATTTATCCTCAGTTGATTATTTAATTTTTTTAATTATTTCAGTCTAATTAAAATAGTTGTATTTAAAAAGTTGGTTAATATTTTTTTTTTTGTAGTTAATTTGATCATTGTGAGAAAAAAAATTAATTATAAATTATATGTGATATTTTGTCTTATTAACTATTTTAATTTATTTGATCTTTTAGTTGACCATTTTAGCCTGACCCTCTTAACAAACACGTACTTTGTTTGTTTATTTACCGGATCAGGTTGTTGAACGAGATTATTAGGTGTCGTTTGGTAATTGGCTTTTTCAATTAGTTTTTAGCTTTTTGATTATTTTAACTTGGGACTAAAAGTTTATTTGGTTTGGTTTTTTGATTTTTGTGCGAGAAAAGATGAAATGATTATGAGTGTATTTGGTTTGTGTTTGTAAAGTAGTTTTTGAGATAAAAAAATACAAAAACTTGTTTAGTTTGTCTTTTTCTAAATATTCTCTCTAAAATAATTTTGGTTTTTTTTGTAGAGTAGTTTTTGAGATAAAAAGTACAAAAAACTTGCTTGATTTGTCTTTGTCCAAATATGCACTCTAAAACAACTTTGGTTTTTTTTTGTAGAGTAGTTTTTGAGATAAAAAAATACAAAAACTTATTTAGTTTGCTTTTTTGTAGAGTAATTTTTGAGATAAAAAAGTACAAAATTTGTTTGGTTTGTCTTTTTTACAAACATGTTTTAAAAGTAATCTTGAAAATTGGATGACCAAACACATTCCTGAGAGTTTTTTTGGAAAAATCTGTTTGGTTTGATTACTCTTAAAAAAGTATTTGTAGAGTACATTTCCAAAAAAATTCTCCCAAAATCAAACCAAACAAGGCCTACGATTTCGATGTGATGTTTTTTCTTATTAACTTATGGGTAAACTTCATTTTACCCTCCTGTGGTTTAGGCCAGGTGCAGTTTACCCCCGATATTCAGAAATCACCACATAACCCCCATATGGTTTATGGACCAAAGTGCACTATCAACTTTTCTATCTAAATTAACGAAATGTGAGGCTCATGAGCCTAGAAGAGAGTAAGTTATTTTTAAGACTAAATTACTCCTCATTCACCTTCAAATTCACAAAATATACCATTCTTCTTCGTTTTTCCTTTAATGTTTCTCTCTCTATGGTGGGTTGCAGATGAGGTTTGGAAGCTTGTAATTTGGGAAAATTGTAGAGTTTGGGGAGAAAATTGTGACAATGAAGAAATAAGGAAATCAGAGCAAGTCTTTAAGAGGTTTTAGATTGATATATACATATAGCTACAGTTTTTGATCTTTCTAACAACGCCACCACAACAATGGCGTCCCTACCTCTCACCTCCTTTGTCAATTTGGGTTTTCAATCTCTACCCACATGTAGAACTCGGTCTTCAAAGTCGTCATCATCATCATCATCATCATTATCATCATCATCATTACCAACTCTCAATCTCAAATCCAACACTTAAAATCAAAGAAACCAGTCAAAACGATACTCTGGAACAACATTGACCCATGATTAACGTTGATTCATGCTTAATTATGCCTAATAAATAATTGAAGGGAAATGTTGCATCATATGTTGCCTTATGTATGTGTATATAACTGTTTAACATAGAAAGATTTGTTCATGTTTTCATTCAGTTTGCGAATTGAAGGCTTTATCGGCACTCAATTCAGAAATTGACTTGATTTATGTGTTAATTGAAATTTTTAGAATTTTATGGTAGGTTCAATTGAAATTCGATTCGGAACGATTAAATTAGATTAATTTACTGCCCACTTATTTAGCCTTAATTATTTATCTTCAAGTGAGTCTATATAAGGATTTTTATATGCCTTTGTTCTTTCTTTATTCTTCATTCAACATATTTGAGCTCCCTCATACAAGCAAAATGTGAGAGAGTGAGAAAGTGAAGGCAATTGAGATCAAAAGTTGGGATAGGAGAGAATTGCCAAGAAGTATTGGAGATTTGCCAAGAATTTGGGAATTGAAGCTCCCTTACTTGTGCAATTTAGACTCTAGGTAAGAGAATTAGCCTTTGATCTTGTAATGTAGTTGATTAATGTATGAAAACAAGTGATTTAAGTGAATTCATGTAGGAATTGAGCTAGAATTGAAGAAAACTAAGTCATTCCATACATACATGCATATTTTCTCACATTTTGGGTTTAATTTCCAAGAGTTCCCTCATGCATGTCTTGAATTCACCTTAATTTTGGGGAATCATCAAGTTTCATGTTATTTGGTAGCATTTGAACATGTTTTGAGAAGCTTAAACTCAAAGAAATTCATGCATGTCATGTTCATGGAGCATTCATAAATTTTAAGTTGAATTTTTGCATAATTAGCAAGCTATGGGGGCCATGAATTCATGAAGTAATCCCTAATTCATGATGTATTATGAGTTTCTAAATGTTCCTCAAGTTTTGGCCCAGAAAAACCAAGTTCTGATGCTTAAAGTTTGAGTTTTGATCTTTGAAAGCAAATCTGGAAATTCCAAAATTTCGCTTCCACGCTCGAGCGTAAGAGTTCACGCTCGAGCCATCACTCTAAGTGCGTGCACTTCTGCTCGAGTGACTATAAGTCTACTCGATCGTGAAATGCAAGCTCCCAGAAGTTCATGTATTTTTGCTGATCGCTTGAACGACAAGAGTCACGCTCAAGCGAGGGTTTGGGTCTCACGTTCGAGCGAGGATTAAGTGTCCGTCAAGCGTGAAAAGCAAGCAAGCAACCAGTACTTTTTCAAAATTTACAAACCGCTCGAGCGAGGGATGTTACGCTCAAAAGAACCCTCACGTTTTGCATGTTCGCTCAAGCAAGGAAAGCCACGCTCGAGCATGGGCCTTATTTTCAGCAAGTTTTGAAAAATGTTTTCAAGTACATTTTTATATCTTCATTCTATCCTAGGCATTCTTAGGCCAAGATTAAGACACCATAATGGGGATAAAGGCTAGAAACACACTAAGAACAAATGAAATAGGTTATGTACACTCTGAGCGTGTGTTTCAATGTATGTATCCGTTATGTTATGTACGTCATGCGCCGCAAGACATCTGATTTGCTTATTTGTCTGTTTACCGTGGAGCCTCTATTATCTGTGAGTAATAACTTTGTAAAGCTATGTTCAATTATAAGTATTTTATGAATGATACAAGATGATCTGCTTCTAAAATATTAGTTTCTGGATGAATAAATGGTTGTTTTTGAAATGTATTCGTGGCATTCTTAGCCTCGAATGACATATGTTATCTGTTCTGTTACATCCCAATTTTGGGCCAACTGTACGTCTCATGAGCCAACTGTTATGGATCCTTATGTATATGTCCCTTTATGGGCCAACTGAACGTCTCATGAGTCAACTGTATCGTCTCCATGTACGAGAGTTAACTATATGCCTTTATGGCCATCCCTTTATGGGTCAACTGTTTCTGCTAGTGCTAAGGAATGTGCCACGTATGGTTAACTGCAAGTTCTAATTATGAATACGACTCTAAAACAGTATTTGTTATGTATTATGATTTCTAAACATAATTACAAATTCATTTCTGACAACTATTGAATTCTGTCTTCTATAACTGTTATGGACAACATTCATTAAACTTCTTTACTCCGTTATTATTCACTGGGCTCCAGCTCACTATTTATATTATGTATGTAGGTGAGCAAGCACGTGACCATGCCCAGAGTTAACGGCCTATGTTTTTGTTTTGTCATCCAACTACCGTGCCTCCTGAGGAGGTTCCTTTTGAGAGGATTATGTCAAGGCTTTAGTTGACCTTATTTTGTACATCTGTACTTGGGCTAAGTATCCTTTGACCGTATCTGTGTAATTGGGTGACATAAGGCTAATGTATTTTTTACGTCACATCTGTATATATATAAGTTTGTTTTGAAAATTTCTATTACATGTATGTCTGCACAGCTCTATGGACTATGTTAATTACGTATATTTGCTTCTGTAGCCCCTATCTTATGTTATCATGTTCAGAGGCCTTTGGTAATCCAAGGATTACTGGCCGGTTATGACACTAAACCTATAGGGACGGGTTTGGGTCGTAACACACTCACTGGTCACAAACCCATATATTGGAACAAGCTTCACATTTAAGTCCATCACCAAGACCCACACCACCTACAATTCTTCAATTCCAACCCGAAACCTCACTGTCAAAGCCTCGGCTGCTGCTGTTCAGGCTAAGCCACCGCCACCGCCACCGCCACCGCAGCCATGGTAGGCTGTAGATCTGAATTCAATCTGATTGTAATTGGGTTATTAAAAATGTTAGGTTTTTATTATTGGCAACCCCATTTGAAAAAACTCATTTCAGTTGTATTTATTTTCGCACTTTTTATTTCAGTGAGGCTATGAGCTTTTAGATGCGAATCCAACCCAAATTGTGTCTTGTAGAGAAGTTTTGTAATGTTAATTCTTTCAAGATTGCCACTTCGCTGCCACCGCCACCGCAGCCATGGTAGGCTGTAGATCTGAATTCAATCTGATTGTAATTGGGTTATTAAAAATGTTAGGTTTTTATTATTGGCAACCCCATTTGAAAAAACTCATTTCAGTTGTATTTATTTTCGCACTTTTTATTTCAGTGAGGCTATGAGTTTTTAAATGCGAATCCAACCCGAATTGTGTCTTGCAGAGAAGTTTTGTAATGTTAATTCTTTCAAGATTGCCATTTCGCTGATTATAACGGGAATCGAGCTGCCCGGTCAGCTCGCAGGGGTCTGGCGGGTCCGGGGCAGCCCCCGGGCGGGGTTGAGGGGTAGCGCCCCCGAAGCAAAATACAAAAATACATTCAAAGTTGCATGTCCGCTCGAGCGGACATTCCCCCGCTCGAGCGGAGAATGCTGAGTTCCAGAAGTTTATTCGCCTACAAAAATACTAGATGTTGTTTTTTTCCACTCAAGTGGAACTTTTCGCGCTCG